AGTAGAAGGATCTAGAATAATTATGGATGGGGCTGGAGAGCTGGGCAGGGGAGAAAGACTCTCCAAGACCAAAGGGAAGAAAGGGGTTCTATGGAACCAAAGTTTAACACAGTCCTGCAGATTAGCATCAAGGCCACTTCCCTGGTAATTATGCCCTTCGGGGCCACCAGTCCAGTCTTGACATCAAAGACAGCCCTGAAGCGCCAACTACAAGGGCTGCCTGGGGGAGCCCCCGCCTCCAGCTCCTCGCAGCCAGCCTTCCTTCTCCCTCCCTGCTCTGGCCTTCTTACTACCCCATGCCAACCACTCCCATCCTCATTTCCATGCTTCAGTCTAGGCTGCTTCCAGAATCCTTCAGAATTCTCCCAACAACCTAGTTATCCACCCACGGGTCACAGAGTGAGCATCTGCCCTGAGCATCCACCCTGAGCATGGAAGGCAGAGCGTGAAGACCCAGGCTACGTGGGTAAGACCAACCCTCTTCCCGCTCTTGGGAAACACAGAGTTGTGGGGGACACGGACTCCACTACATGGTAGGAACACACATCACAACAGGAGCCAGCGAGAACAGGAGAATGCCACCTGCTACCTAATAATCATAGCCACCACCCGGCACATCCCGAGGACATGCCAGGCAGCGTTCCGAACACTGTACCTGTATTAGCTCATTTCATTCTTACATCGACCCTGTGACACCATTTACAATCAGGGATGAGTCCCCCAGGCCGTAAGTGAGTTGCCCAGCCAGCAAGCAATGGAGTGAGTTTCAATCCCAGACACTGGTCTTAGATTCTAGGCTTTTCATCACGACCCTGGACTCGATTCTACCAACCCTTCCCTGAAAAATCCACATTGTTTTTTTTTTCCCCTTCCTGACTCAAAGCCCTCACAAGTGAACTCCTCTGTGGTACCCGAGTAGCACTTTACTGGATACCTCTGTGTGGGTGCAGGGAGGCACTTCTCTCTGGGGTAAGTGTACAGGCCGAAAAAACAGACCTGGGTTTAATGCACCCTCTGTTTACCAGACACGTGACCAGAAGAAGCTGCTTTACTTCTTCGAGACTCAGTTTCCTCTCCTGTAAGGTGGACAAGGCTAAAATACAGATCAAATATGAAAGTTTCTTTACCTGGTGCCTGGCAGATAATAAGCACTCACATTTTTTTTAATATAATATAATAACAGTTATGTTTTTGTTGTGTATAATATTAGTCCGTAAATTCAAGTGTCTGATACCACATCTCTTTACATTCTTTAAAAAACTGAAACATGGAGAGATGTCCTGAGATTCAAGTTCCCTCTGGTCCCCACCAGCCCACTGTCACTACCCACACGGTCCCTTTGGGTCTTCTGCTATGCACCTCATGCCTCACTGAAACGCAAGAATGTTGGCCTCGGTCCCAGACCCAGAAGAACCCTGCACAACCACCCCATGGGGTCCAACTGCTTCTTCCATCTACATCCTGAGCAGCCACAATACCACCCTGACCCTGGCATTCCCAACTCCTGTTTGTCCCTTGCCTTCAAAAGCTCTTCCCCCAACAGAACACGTATCCTAGATTTTCTTAATAGCTTATGGTTTTGCAAAAGGTAGGAAGAGCAGCTGTGTTCAAGTGGTTTTGGACCCCTGTCTTGCGACCGCCAGCTCTGACAGGATATAATGGCAGGGCCATCTGCTTGGAACTGAGGGAAAGAAAAAGTACTGAGAGCGAAACACAAATCCATGCTTCAAAAAAAAATCATCCTTCCACGTTTCTGCAAACACACCTCAGCATTGTGCCATCCTAACCATGCAAAGGACCCTCCAGGAGCCACCAGGCAATGCTGAGGCCCAGGACACACTCCTGAGGTGGCCATTCAGTAGATGTGGGTTGGGTTGAGCGCTGGTGCTCCTAAAGAGCCCTGCAGGGATTCGAACGCAGCAGAATGAAGCAGCGCTGCTTTAAAGGGCTCATGCAGAGAAGGCTCCTCTTCCAGACTAACCTTGAAGAAGAGGAACCATGTCATACAAATGGCTGGGGGAACCTTAGTGCGGATGGGGCACCCAGAACCCATTTTGTAGGAAGGAAGACAAAGGTCCCTGGTAGAGAAAGGAGAAGCCCTGCCGTGTGCAAGGACGAGTGAGTGCTGGGAAAGTCCCACAGTCCTGTAACTGGAGACTTGAAGGTAGATTAAGGACTTGAGGTATTTCCTGTTGAAGGGACAATCATGCCAAGTGGGAAAAGGAGCAGATTTGACAAGGGGCTTGCAACCACAGCAGCGCAATGAGATGAGCCTCCAACACAACAGTCTCTACCGGGTCTCCCAGTAGCAGCCAGCAGAGGGGCCAGCCAGGATTCTGATGGCGTCTTAGCCCATTCATGGGTGGAAAAAGGTCCTGTGGGCATGCTTCCTCTGCCCTGGCCATTCCATGCAGGAACACAGACCACACATCAGCCTCCAACCCTGCCCCTCCTGCCTTCTTTTGCAGATAAGCCTGACAGCTGCCTCCCATCTCTCAGGGCAAGGTCAGCAGAGCCCCAGTGGCCAGGAAGATGGAGGCCCCACTCCTGTGAGCGAGTAGGACCTGCCCAGTGTCTGCTGGAACCGTCACACACACAGCAGAGGCCCCTGGCACCTGAGTCTCCACATAGAGAAGGACCAGACACTTGCTTGCTGACGCGCTATCAGAACAAAACCAAATCACTCACCACGTCAAGGGTTAGCTCAACGACCAGCTCAGACACTGCCCCCGACCAGGCAGCCACAGGGCGGCCCCACCACCCACGATCGCTTCTTACCTGGGATGATGGAAACTGTGTCTTTCTCCCAAGACACAACGCTAACGTATTCCTGCACTGAAGAGGGGATGAGGCACTTGAAGACGGCCACGTTTCCACGCATTGACCTTTGATCCTCCACCCTGACGGTGTAGGGTTCCCTGAAAACTGCAGTGAGATGGGAGCAGGGGGGAGAAGAGTGTCACCAGGATGTGTCACCTCCCTGGGCTTCCCCAGCCTTCTCCTCTCCTCCTCCTTCCCGCCTCCTGCTTACCCAGCCCAGAAGTTCCTGCCATGACCTTGTTCCTGCCTGAGCAGCACCTTGGTCCACTTCCTCTCTGCCCCACAGGGCAGCTGTTCTTGCTAATTTGGAAATAGCCACCTCCCTCTGCAGGACCACAACTCCAGATTTTGACCTTTCCCCTTGTGAGTTTTAGCAAACCCTACTGGATGGCAGAGGCCTTGAGGTTAGCATCTCAGTCTGCACTGATGTTGCAGTCAACAGGGACAGGTGTGGGTCATAGGAAAACAAGGGAGAATTCCCCCTGGCATGACATACCAGCTTGCTGACATTATTCCTGGACCCAAGGTGGCATTTGTTTTGGGCAAAGTGACCAGTATTTGCCAAAATAAAACCATGATCTAAAATAAAATAAAGCCAAAACAGATGATCTAACGACAGCATGAGACCACTCTAGAGTGAAAGGCATCCTTGGAAATGTAACCAAGATACAGAACATTCTGGAAGGGTTTGGTTGTGTATAATTCACAATGGGAGAGACTATCTGAAACTGGAATTCTGTTTGAGAATGCAGAGCCCCAAAGATGGGCTCACTGTCTCCAAGATTCTTGGCAATGAAGCCTCCCTGTGGCTTCTCCACCTTCTGCCACTACCTGCACCCTCCAGCACACCCCTGCGCCCAGCCTTGGCCTTGCCTTCAGAACCATCCCTTGTCCATTCCTGCCTTGCTCCTAGGGCTGCTTCCTGGCCACTGTCACCTGCAGTCACTCACGTGTTCGGTTCTGCAGGTGGACTGACCTGGCCTTACAGATGGGACTGAGGATCCAGCCTCTGCCCTGTCCTCTGTGGGGCCTCTCCCAGGCACTCACTTGATCCTTCTGCCCTCTTCTCTGCCAAGCAGAGCTGGAACGTCCAGAGCCCCACTGCCTACCGACCTTGTCCCTCAGCAGGCACCTGGGCAGCCTGCCCTTCTCCTCTCCTTGCCATGGTTGCCAGGCGACACTAAAGGCCCTGGCAGCCCCCCGGCTGTGCACCTGCAGCCTCTGTGGCGTCATCAGGAGCCTCTTAATTGGTTATATTTCCAGTGGGTCCAGCCCTCCTTGGCCTTCCCTGGCGTCCATTCTTCCCTTCCTCCCTGCTATGGCTGTGATGGGGAAGGGATGGGGGTGGAGGCGAGGAGGGAGGAGAGGTACTGCTGGCTGAGGTACTGCCAGCTGCCTGGGGCTGCAGTCCAGCCCTTCTGTGGGGTTGGCAGCACTGCCTCCATTTCTGGGACACACATCTTGAATAAAGGAGCCTGAAGGAGCTCACTCTGGAGGGGAGCGGAGCGGTGGAGGCAAGAGGACAGGCTGAGGCGCGCTCCACCCTCAGGGGAGCAGGGGAGCTGGAAAAGTTGACAGTAAGAGCATGCAACAATCAGGCCCTGCTTCATCATCAGGCCAGTGCGAGATCCTGGACAGGAAGGGTTCACCTTTGGAGCCTCAGTTTCCTCGTTTGTACAATAGCTCGCACAAGTCCCAGCATGTGGAACGTGCTTCAGGAATGCTGCCTTTCATGACAGTGGCACCTCTCCAATGAAGGGGCGGCGTGCCTTTGGGAAAGTCACCTAATCTCTCTTTGTCATAGTTTTCTCATTTGTAAGAAACGCTTTATAGACGTACTATGAAAACAGCATGTAACCCAACTACAGTCTATTACAGGAAATAGGATGTCCTTGTCCCTTAGCCTAGTCCTCCAGGCTGCAGAGACCAGCACTGGAGAATCCAGGCCTCCCAACCCAGCATTCAGTGTTGCATTAGGGGTTGAACAATACAAAGGACCTGTTCCCAAGAGAAGATTCCCTGGGGAGCCTGGGAGAGAAACCTTGGGCATGGCTCAATCCTGAGAGTTCAGATTGACCCCAGAAAAACCCATGGCAAGAAGCAGAGCTTTCAATTCACCCTCTCCACACCCCTGTCCTTAGAGCCTTGGAACCCTATCCTTGTGAAAGGGATTCCTAAAGCAGAAGGACCTAGGAGGTTGGACAAGCTCATCTTGCAGGGTCTGCCACCAAGCAGGCAGGCCCCAAGGCCTCCCCGGAACTGTCTCCTGGGCCTGCTCAATGCATCAGCAAGAAAGAAGGTGCATCAGGCCTAGGGTCACTGCAGCAGGCTGGCAAGAGCACCACCTGCCCTGTTGCACCCAAAACCCTTCTAAGCAAACCCTTCCCCATCCTCCAGTGCCATATGCTGTTGGAGGTGACCAGGGCACCGCAGAGCATCATGATGCCCTAGTTAGGAACAGCTGGTCTGAGCCATTTGCTCTCTTCCAGCCCTGATCCAGGGAAATTAGACTTTGTCTTTTCTCTAAAGGGACTAATGGAGAAAGGCTCACTTCCTTGCCTACATCAACTCTTCCAAAGACCTGAATCCTTCACTGCTCCAAGTTTTCCACAATGAACTTCATCTAAGTGCCAGTTCTCATGAGCTGTGCTAGACTCAAACGTCCATGGACAGCAGGATGAACAAAGAGCACGTAGCCTGGGACACAATGGAGTACTAGACAGCAACGGGAATGGGAGACTTCCCACTCTGCACAAGAGCCAGCGTCAATCCCACCATCACAGGAATGAGCCAGAGATTCCACAAAACGCATCCTGCAGGACTCCCTTATGAAAAGCACAAACGCAAGCAAGACTTCTAAATTGTTAGAAGGCAGGAGAGCCGTTCCTGATAGGGGAACAGTGACCAAAATACAGGAGGGAGGCCTCTAGGGTGCTGGTGTTGTATTTCTGCATCTGAAGCACTAGTTGAGCCTTGTGAAAATTCACCCAGCTACTATTACAACATGTTCATTTTTCTTTATATATTTCAATAAAAGGTTTTAGACAAAGAAACTCAACTAGTATTTTCTATGAGTCCAGGACTGAAGTGAGCGTGGTACTTAGTTTTAAGTACTTAAAGTTAAATGAACACTATTTCATTTAACTTCACACTCAGTGATGTATGAGGTAGGTGCTTGTGTTGACTGCAGATGAAGAAACCAAGGCTCGGATGGTAGCTTACTTGACTGCATACCCAGGAGGTGACTGAGCTAAGTCAGGAGAAAAAGGAAGCTGTCCCAGGCGAATGGCTTCTCCAGCCTGTGCATGTCACACATATATCCTCCCAGTGATGGCCTGCTGAGCCCAGCCCTAGCCCTGCCTAGCACACCCAGCTCCACAAGTGGGGGGCAGGCATCTCCTCCCTTACCTGCTTTGACGCGGATGTTGGGGCTCCGGATCTTGCCGGCGGCATTCTCCGCGGTGCAGAAGTAGTCATTGTCGTGGATAAAGCTATTGAAGGCGGAGGGGGAGAAGGGGTAGAGCTGCAGCGTCCCGTTGGCATGCACGTGCCGGATGTGTGGCACGTCGTAGATGTCGTCCCCTGTGGCCAGGTACCATCGAAGGGCCGCACTGGGGGAGCCCGCGGCTGGGCAGGGCACCACCACCCCCACGGAGCTGGAGAAGGTCACCTGCTGCAAGGAATCATTTACAAAGTAGAGACTGGTGCCGACATCTTCAGGGCGGGCTGCAGGGGAGGCAGAAGGAGAGATGTGGTGAGGACTGCCCTCATAACACCCACACGACCTCCCAGGCCGGCATGCATCAGGCCTGCAAGCACCAGTACCCGCATCTGACTTTCAAGCATCAGCCAATCTACCAAGACTGCTATATACTAGGTACTGACCATGAAGAGACAGTTTCTGCACCATAGAAGCTTTCAGGCTAGCTCAGAATGGCAAAAGTTAAAAATTCTCACCCTCCATGAGAAGAGGCTGCCACACACCCTGCTATGGTGAAGGGTTTTAAAGTCACCACCCACTATGACATCCACATATTAAGAGAGACACTGAACCTGGCACAGTGGTGCACATCTGTAACCCCAGCAGCTCAGGAGGCTGAGGCAGGAGATTGTGAGTTCAATGTCAGCAACTTAGGGAGACTCTATCTCTAAATAAAATATAATAAAAGGGCTAGAGATGTGGCTCAATGGTAAAGTGCCCCTGGGTTCAATTCCTAGTACGAGAGAGAGAGAGAGAGAGAGAGAGAGAGAGAGAGAGAGAGAGACTGAAATGCTTAAATAAATATTTACTAAGCACCTACTCTATGCAGGCCAGTTCTGATCATTGCCTCAGCTCATCCGCAGCCCTGAGAGGAGACGCATCTCCCCTTTTGGACACTACCATACCATAGACTGAGGGTAGTAGCTGTGATTTGTCCAGGAGCAAGCAACCAAGATACAGAACTGAAATTTGATACCCTTGCTCCTGATGAGGATTTGAGTGCCCTTCATACCATACTACAAATGAGAAGTCAAGGTCTCAAAACTGTGGCCCAAGAGGAGTGGCTGGAGGAACGGGACACTCGCTTGGAACATGAGGACTACTAGAGGCCCTGAAAACCATCCTGGCACCAAATGTCCTTGGAAAATGCACTGCCACACAGGGCAGAATGAGGACCAGTTGTCAGTGGGTAGGGAAGATCCAAGCTCAGGGAGCGAGAGACCCAGGCCTGACACGGCCCCCTGTGGAGGTGCCCTCCTCTCTCTGATCCGCTGCTCCTTCATTTGCAAAATGGGCCTTGCAAAATGGGCCGTGGGGAGGATGGGCAAGGTGGCAAAGACAACTTCATCTCTCACATGTTGCCCGCCAGGCCCTCCCTCCACCACACAGAATGCTCTCAGGGCTGCCTGGTGGGAAGGATGAGCTGTCTGCTCCTCCAGCATAGGGCCTTGGTACTTCCTCCTCCTATCCCAGCAGCCCTGATTGTTGGATTTAGGGGCCCTCCCTCCCACCACGGAGCCTGTCCCTTTAAAAAGGCCACCTCCAGGCAAGTGGGAGCAAACCCAGAGGAAGAGAGGCCCTGGTCCCAGGTCTCCAGCTGGAAGCCATTCTCTTTTCACCAGGAAGATCAAGGAGCCAACAAACCACTGCTGCTTGTTTAAAGAACGTTGCAGGGGACCCAACTTGACCTCAATTTCCACAACTTTATGGGGAGGGGGAGGGCCCACATCCGGCCTGTATTAATATTCTTGGCTTAACTCTGAGCTGAGCCTCCAGGGAGAATATAGCAGGCAGGTCGTTGAGGAAGGCCATTAAGCCTCATTGGCCAGAGCAATTCACATCATCTCATAAAAAGCTGTGATGAAGCCATTAGCAGCCGTGCTGGAAAAAACATCCGTGGGCTCCTTACTGCGGTGTCAGGGGCGTCCTCTTAGCAGCAAATGCATTTGCTGTCCCCATCAGGCACTGCACCCTTAGCCGCTGAAAGCCACTTGGAGAAGGGGGGCAGCATGGCTTGCCATCCTCCCCCTCTGCACACTACCTTTCCCGTGACGGTCACAGGGTTGGTGGTTGAGCGAGACTGCTAGTGGGTACCTGGATCCGGAAGCTCCTGTAACATTCCCATCTCAGTGGCCAGAGTTCTCCATGATCATGAAATCATCCCATTGCATGCATTAGCAAACTGAGAAGCCAAGAAAGGGAGCTTTCTCTGGTTCCACACATATCCAGCCTCATGTCCAAGAACCTGGTTATCTTCCAAAAGGCTTCCCTATCAAGATCCATTTACCAAATACTTATTGAGCATCACCCACGTACCAGTCCCTAATGCCAGGACCTTGCTTAACCGACTTCATTTAATCTCCTTAACAACCCTATGAGATAGGTCCCATTATTATCCCCACTTAAAGATGAGGGAGCCAAGACACTAAGATAGCATCTTACCCAAGACCGCCCAACCAGCTAAGTGAGGGCTCTGAGATGCAGACCCAGGTGACTGATCCCAGAGCTGCTTTCTTAAGCAGTAGGTGATGTGTGGCTATCGTGTGACTAGTGCAATAATAAAGAGGGAAACCTTTCCTTCCTCAAACACATCTTGGCCACCAAATCCATTTTCAGCAGGTCAAGAACACACACACATACACTGGAGAGTGGCCCCTTTTAGAGTCTGGACATTTCAGACATTCCTTAGCTTCTAGAAGCAGGGGAATCACTCTGGAGTTCTGGGTGCTTCTTCTAGGAGACAACCTAGTTCATCAGACACTTTCACTGTGGCAGCTTCTTAGAAACCAAAAATCCATCAAGGTACAAAAGGAGTCTACACTGTACCTGAGAAACAGACTTAGAAAATACAGAAAAATATGGGCAGAGCGGTGCACATCCGTAAGCCCAGTGACTCAGGAGGCTGAAGCAAGAGAATTATAAATTGGAGGGCAGCCTCAGCAACTTAGCGAGAACGTGTCTCAAAATAAAAATAAAAATAAAAAGGACTGATGATGTGGCTTAGTGGTAAAGCACCCCTGGGGTTCAATTTCCAGTACTAAAGGGAAAAAAAAAGCTGAGAGAGAGTTCAAAGAGGAAGGGATTCAGGAATTGTCCTATTCATGGGAGAGGGTAAGTAGACACCTGAGGATAAGTCTGATAGGGCCCTCTGTCATGACAATACGTTGGGCAAAAATAATCGTCACCACCGATTGCACTGTCAACTCTAGGCCAGACTTGGTGCCAGGCCTGTTCAGGACATTCTATTTCTGTTAGACATCTATTATACTGAATCTTCATCACTCTCTAGGAGGTGCCATTATTATTATCATTATTTCCATTTTACAGATACGTAATTGTGGATTCTGAGAAGTTAACGGACTAACCCAAAGTAACACAACATGCTGGAGCTGGCCCGGGAGCCCAACTCTCTCTTACACCAGAGCCAGGAGATGGCTGCACTAGCTCAATTGAATAACCAAGCCAAAGACACATCAAACCACAAAATCTGGTTTTCCAGCCTGGATACCCACCCCTTCCTTCATCCCAACCCACTCCAAACTTCTATCTAGTCTCTTCTCCTAGCTGGAAGTCTGTTCCATTCTCCTGGCCTCCCAGAAGAGCCCTGTGCCCAGGGCCTCTCTGCTCCCATCGGCAGCATCAACCACGATGACAGAAGCCTTCCTGCACTCTGGGCCTCGGATCTTGCCATAACCAAGGACACGAGGCTCCCAGCAACTACGAATGGGTAGATTTAATTGATGAATTGACTGGGATTGTCCAGCCACCTGTCAGGGCTGATGAAACAGCAGATTTATAGCAAAAGACAAGTAGCCTCATATTTCTCCTACCCCAGGATGTGAGCTGCTGCCTTCAGAGTCTGGGGGAACTGGGGGGGATTAGACACACCATTCATTTCTGCTTACGACTCTGACAGTGCACTGCCATTATGAAACATCACCCTCAGGTGTAAAACAATAGCATTTTGCACTTACATTGGGTTCATATTTTACTATCACAAGGCACCTGTCAGCTCAGAATGCAGAAGTCCTTAAATAAACATTAATTTAGCTTCATCCTACCTGCCAAGAGAAAGTAGTGGGCAAAGCTATAAAGGGGAAACTGAGGCACCGGTCAACAAAAAAAGGGAACTCTCTGCTAGGTGCAAAGTTGAAGGCTGGGTGCAGGGCAGCTAAGTGGCTGCAGAAGCAATGGGTGGGCTCAGTCACTGGAGGATAGAGGGTGAGTAGCAAGGGCCTGTGGTCCTCATTCTGACCTGATGGAGACTATTAAGGCCTCAATATGGGGGCTTCCCCTCTTTATCAGACTCCTACTGGGATCTGCAGTGGCAAAACCTCAGCAAACTTGGAAAGGAGCTGGGGATAGCGCATGCCCTAGAAAGAGTGACAGACCCATCTTTGTGGTGTGGCCTCAGGCAAACTATGTAGGCTTTCTAAACCTCAGTGTCCTTGTTTGCAAAAGGGGTGGGTGAAGGGGGTAACTGCACCATCTTACCTACCTCACAGGACTGCTGAGCTGGCAAAGGCAATGTGGAGGAGTTGGGTTCCCTTAACGAGGATGTATGCATAGCGGGAACTAGTCCCAGTTCTCCCTGAGAGGTCAAGAGCTCTCCCTCAGGTTACTTTGAAATATAATCAGGAGCCAGGGTGGCACTCCCCTCTAATCCCAGCGGCTCAGGAGGCTGAGGCAGGAGGATCACATGTTCAAAGCCAGCTTCAGCAACTTAGCAAGGCCCTAAGCAACTCACTGAGACTCTGTTTCTTAAAAGAAGAAAGAAAGATAACTAGGGCACAGCTCCACCCTGCAGCCTTGCAAAATTCAAACCCCCTGCATCTTCTTTCCCTTAGTGACTCCCTGCCCCTACCCCTTCACCATTCCTCCCTGATCCATGGGCCAGGAAAGACTCATTCTTCAGGGAATAGATCCCAAATACCAGTCACACGCTCCACAAGGTTCCAGGTAGGGTGGGAGACATGGAAGATAGGGGAGAAGGGTCCCCCATCCAGAATCTCTTAAAGAAGATGGTGAACAGGAAAGGTGAACATCACAAGGACTGGGTTTAAGGACAGGTGGAAGCATCGATTCAGGCAACAAGAGCCACAGGGTGGAGGGAAGGTAGGTTCCACAGCAGCCGGAGAAAAAGCTTTGGGCTAGGAGTCCTGAGCTGAACTGGAAGGAAGGTCTGAACAGGAGGGTGGGCAGGGGAAGGCAATTCCTGAACAGGATGGTCTGCATCATGGTGCTA